AATCGCTAGATTTACTTTCAACACAATGTACCATGTTGATGAGACCCATTTGATCTGATAATTCCAGGCCAATCAAAGTCGGACATGAAAAATTGACAACATGAAATTTGGATTTAAAACATTTTTTCTTAAAATTAAAGTGTAAAATAGACTCACCCATAACCTCTAACTTCTCCTTAGTTAAGGTGTTTAGGTGATCTTTGGTTGGTTGTATGTCGTTAGAATTTAAATTTAATTTACAAATATTATGGTAAGAGATTAAATTTGTTTCTGCTCCTGTGTCGATTCGAGCTTTCACAGGGATGCCATTAACATAGATATTTGTGAACCATTTATTGTAACGAGCTTTTGGTTTATTAACCATGCCGATAAATAGATCATTATCACTTTCATCACAATCACTATTTATTTGGACATTTTTGATAGATTTTGATTTACACAAACGTGAAAAATGGCCGACTAAATCACAATTATGACATCGCACATCTTTTGCAGGACACTTAAAACGATGGAATTGATTTCCAAAGTTTTCGCACACGGTTATGGTCTTTGTCGGACGACGAGGATCAGGACTACGGTATCTTGTGTTTCCATGGTAGCGTGTTCGGTGTGGTGATCTTGAATGTCTGCTAGAAGTCGGTGAGCTGCGGAACGATCTTTGACGGGATGATGATCTTTGGCGAGATGATGATCTGCGATGTGAAGACGTTGAGCGGTTGCGTGATGTTGATCTGTGACGGGATGTTGATCGGTGACGTGAATACCCTCGAGATGATGATGATGATGATCTATGACGGTGATGGTTTGGTCTTCCATGATCGTGATACGTTGTTGGTTTGTTAGGGTAGTTTGTGTGGCTTAATGCATTAACTTCTCTACTCAGCATTTCAGACCTGTCTTTTGCTAACTGGAGTTTTTGTGCCAGACTGAAGATTTTGTCCAGCGATGTTTCATCCGACTTGATCAATTCTTCTTTAATATGTTGGTTTTCTGCATTTAGATTACCGATGAAAAGATCCTTAGTGATGGAATCTTTAAGGTCTTTAAATTGACAATTTATGCTAAGATTCTTGAGAGAGGTCAAGAAATCTTCAAGCGTTTCACCGTGTTTTTGTTTTCGGTTGAATAATGTTAGCCTTTCAACCGTCACATTAACTTTAGGTGAATAGTGAGATTTGAACTTAGTGACGAGTTGGTCATGTTTAATCTTTTCCACATCTACATCAAAAGACTTGAAACGGTCAAAAGCTTGTTTGCCCATAGACTTTATTAGGAGAGCATTTTTACGTGCATCTTCAGCTTGATCGAGATCAGCTGCTAAAAGGAAGATTTTGAACTCTGACTTCCAAACTTTCCATTGAGCAGATAGGTCACCTTTAAGGATCATTGGTGAACAAGAAGTTAGTTCTAAGTTGGATTTAGAACTGTTACGTTGCGTGTAACTAGAAGACGAATGAGAAGCATGATCTTCGTTAGACATTTTGACGTTGATGCTTTCGGAAAGGTAAAGAACACTTTAATGTCCAGTTATAAAGGTGGACTGAACAAAGACGTTGAAAATTTAAGGGATTTGCTAGACGTAATTTGACTACCTTTTGGATGTATCTGAAGATGCAGACGGGCGCAATTGACGAAGGGCATCAATGACCAGAAGTAGACAAAAACAGACATGGATGAGACGAACTTGGTTGTATCTGAAGATGCAGACAGACGCAATTGACGAAAAGACATCAATGACCAGAAGTAGACGAAAACAGACATGGATGAGACGAAATGGTTTGACGTAGACGAACCAGGCTTGTTTGACGTGACGGACCTGGACTAGACCATAGACTTGACGTGACGGACTTGGACTATGCCATAGACTTGACGTGACGGACTTGGACTCGACAGACTTAGATTGGACGCAGTGACATGACGGAGACTAGCAGACTGATACTAGACTGTGACTTTGACTGGACGGACAAGACGGATTGACATGGTTTGACGAGTAGATTAACTTGCCTTCATGACGGTGATAGAAGAGACGCAGAACTGGAGTCGATAAATCGAGACACTTGACGATACATTTGAGGTTGACGATTAACTTGAAACACCAAATTTGGCTTGTGTGTCACGTTACAAGCGATGAAATAAGACGAACGAAAACGAGACGACGTAAATCCATTTTGAAGATGGTTGGAATCTGGATATTTGGTTAGGAGTTAGGTTAAGGACAAAGGACTGATGACTAGGATATATGATAAAGGATGCCGGTACAGAATCATAGGACAGAAATTTGCTTCGTAGGAATCAGACAGTGCGGATTATAAAATCAAAGGATAAAACGTTTAAAATGGATTTAATAGACTTACATTCTATGACTGAACACGACTACACGAGGACCTTTAGGCCACACATGATGACACGTACACGACGTGATTGACCCGAATCGCGACCGCGAGAGAGGAAAAGATATGTCGATTAGACTAAAACATGGTTAAAAAGACTTTGGATATAGATGTTCACAACTGACACCATGTTACCTATGTTAGTCGGTAACCGATGAAAGGAAGAACGACACGAGTTAGGAGGACGCCATGACAGAAGTGTATTAAGGGGGCCGCTACCACAGAGCCTGGGCGGCTAGGCGTACATAGCTGCCATATTGACATGCTACTAACAACTTACACGAAGCGCACGCGAAAAATTATAATATAAAAAGTCTCCAGTAAGATTTTTGACTTATGCGTAAGCCTTGTTTTGGCAGTACACCGTTGCTAAGTTTACATTTTTCAGCCTTAAAATGCTCATTTTTTAAAGTTTCTCATCCACAAACCGCTAATACTGAAGATCCAACTGTATTTTAGGGCATAGATTCAACAATTAGTGATACTCGTAGATGCATAGTATAATTTATAAAAGGATACGATAATACAGTGTTGCAAAGTTTTCAACTTGTACCTGGAAAATGTCTATTTTCTGTCGTTATTTTGTTGAAGACAAAATAGAACAATCGTCGATACGTAATATTGTGAAGCAAAGAAATGTGGAGGACTTTTGTCAATCCTAGGTGAAAACTGGAATTAAAATGGCACTGTTGCCAATTTTATTTAAGTTTCTCTTAACATTCCATTATAAAATAAGTTTAAAATAAGGATACTTCCAATAATTATCTGATTTTAAAACGTAATCCAAGTGAAAGGTGAAGAAATCAGGTGAAGAAAGCTTACATAGATCTTGAATATACTTTGCTTGATAATGACATGAACAACGAGCAATTAGAGTTTCCCAAACTTTCTCTAGATTATTTATATCAGCTAAGTCTTAGGCCTTATCAGATCAACATTGCAATGTCATAATACGCTAAGCATGAAAATGAAGGCATTTTTCTAGTACATAAGTTTGAACCACCAGTGAAACATAGAACAGCAGGTTTAGACTTCGGGAAATGAGGTATCCACGTTACAGAGTCATTACTCGTCAAGGCATACATGAAATCGCGCTACCGCAGTGGTAAACATAATCACATTTTTGTCCTAGCTGATAAAGCTAAAGCAGGGGTAGATGTAATACGAGAGTGGTTCTGTACCTGTGAAAGTGGTTCAAGAACTGTTGGCTGCTGCAGCCACATAATGGCAATATTATGGTATTTGGGATGCGCCCAATTTAGTGAACTACAGACACCGAACCCAAGAATATGCGATGTGTCCATCACCATTCCGAAGACATAATCCTCGTTCTTTGGAGTCTGTACATTCATTGCGCTTCCGTCATTATTTGCATCCGTTCCTTGAGTTTTCATCCTGATCCGAAAGCTGAGTTTCCGAATTCATTAAATTACGGAGCAGGCATTCATACGGTGCTATTGAAAACATATCTTTCATTCAGATGCCTCAAAATAATTGAGATACTTGGTAAAAGTAAAAAATCGGCAACATATTGAGGTACATGCCATATATTTGAAGGCAAGACTATACTCATGTATCAATTGAAGAAAATATTTTCACGGAAATTAATAAATAAATATAAAATATAAATTACCAAAGACTAAAAAAATTACAAAAAAAATAAAATAAAATGAAAAGATTAAATTAGAAGCATCTTTATTTTAAAATAATTGTATTATTTTTTGTTTGAAAAGAATTACGAATAAACTTGGCAGCAGTATTTTTTCCAAAACCAATCGTTGCCTGGGACTGAGATCAGCCCTTGATATTTTGCCTTGATACGAGTTACGATACCCATTGAAGTCGTGTTCAACAAGAAAAAAACATAATCCATACAGAGTTCAAAGTCTTAAGCATGGCAACACTGTATCACCACCGGTCAAAGTATTCTTCTTCAAATACAAACATTCATCTACAAATGACATAAATGGTTGATTTTCTGCCTCAAATCGTGATTAAACTCTACGAAGGTAGCTTCTGAAACTCAGAACTTAAAAATATAGACATTTTTAAAGCTCAAATATATAAACGTTGCAATTCTGTATCGTTAGGACTATACTTACATTCTGAGATAAACTTTAACAAAAAACTTAATCTATCATAAAATTGCATCTAAACCCCCAAAAATATCTTTTAGCGGTCACTAAGTTCGTTTTTTTAATTAAGAAACTTGATAAAATGAACATTTTTTATAGGTTTTTTATGTCAACTCTGCAACGTTGTATTAACAGAATTAGCAGTATTAATGTTTCAATAGAAATACCTATGCATTCGATAATAATACTAACATTTGATAAAATGTCATAAAATATCATAAAACATTCAATTGAGGGTTCGGTAAAAATCACTGAACTTTTTTTTTCAGTGCAATGATATCAGTATGTTCCCATGATGGGACCAACAGACACCAAACTTTACATCAACTCTTTATCATGATGGTAAGAAAGTCCAAATTGATATCATCATGTTACCATATTTGTGCAATGTTGTTAACAACATTTTTTTAAAATCATGTTTATATCATATTGGGACTTGCCATATTGCTAGCATGTTGGTATCATGTTGGTCTTTTACCCCAAGTTGATATCACGTTGATATCATGTTGATATCATCATGATACCAACATGGGCGTTTTAGACCCTGTTGGTGACAACATAGTCTCAACATGTTACCAACATAGTCATTTTTAGCAGGGAAGATTTTTGATCCATTATCTTTCTTAAGTCCGTTAGTGATACGGGCCAAGCTTAAAATGCAAGACGTTTGGAAGCTAATGATTCTCTGGCATGAATCGTTGTCTCAGTCTATTATTACTTAATGGAGAAATTTTTGTTCAGATATGTTGTTAATCTCAATATTAGTAGTTCCTAGACACGTTGTTTCGCTCCTTATGATTTTAATGTTGAGTTGCATGGTTTTTCTGATGCGTCAATCCGAGCTTATGGTGCTTGTACCTAATTACGTTCGTTCGATTGATAAAGACGAAAATTCTCACTGTCAATCATTAATTTCAAAATCCCGCGTGGCTCCTTTGCATTCTACTAGTTTACCAAGATTAGAATTATGCGGGGCATTACTTTTATCACGATTATTGTCTCAAGTTTAAAATGCTATGCGGATGCCCTTTTCGGCGATTTGCTTGTGAACTGATTCGACGATTATTACTCTTGACTGTATTCGTGAACCGCCAAATCGTTGGAAAACTTTTGTAGCGAATAGAGTGGCTGAAATTCAGTTGAATACTGAAAATGCTCATTAGTGTCATGTATCATCAGATCAAAATCCTGCTGATTTAATTTCTCGTGGGGTTCAGTGTTCTACTTTGAGGAACTCAAGTTTATGGTGGCGTGAACCAGAAATGTTGCATAACCCGGGTATTTTCCAACACTGTCATCAAGATATTCGGTAAAATAATGATTTGTCTACTGAAATGCAGTCTTCTTGTACTTCTCACGTAATTTCGGTTAAGCCCTTTGACTTATTTGAAAAATACTCCTCCCTTTCTAAGTTGATAAGAGTTTTTGCATTTGTTCAACGGTTTATTTTCAATTATAAGTCCGAAAACAAGCTATGTAGAAAGATTGGAGAATAAACAGCAGCTGAATGCGACAGTTCTATGATTAAATTGATTAAAATTGCCCAGTATTAAGTATTTTCGCGTGACATTTCATCCTCAGGTATTTTACACAAAAAAAGCTAACTTTTAGCATGAAATCCCTTCCTTGATGAAACTGGAGTTTTTCGGGTCAATGGTCGTTTACGTAATGCAAGAATTCCGTACGCACAAAAATTTCCTACAAAATTACTAAATAGACATAAATTAACAACGGTTCTGGCCTTTAAAAGGACGATCTGAAGCTTATTTCACCGTATGCAATTTTTTTGGATGTAGAGTTGCTCGCCCCAAACTTCTAACCCAAATTATGGCACCATTACCATATCTCACCGAGTAACTGAGCTACGACCTAAATTTGCGGAGTCGATTTTTGTGGTCCTATTTTTTAAAGCCATACTGTAAGAGTAAATTAAGAGTGAAATCATATGTTTCATAATTCGTTTGCTTTGCAACAAAGGCAATTCATTGTGAATCCTATAGGTATATTAAAATGCAAAGTTCCGAATCTTGGGGCATTAACTTTGAGAGAACCACTGGACCGATTTTCCTGATCTTTTTTTTAAATGAAAGCCCCTGAGCTGTAGATTTGCAGGCTGTAATTTGTTTTCCAATTTCTTTCAAATTTTCTCCTATAATTTTCTCAAATTTTCTCCAATGTATTAAAACGGAGGTTCGAATCTTTGGACGTTAACTTTGAGAGAACCACCGGACCGATTTGCATGATTTTTGTTTTAAATGAAAGCCTCTGATCTGTAGATTTGCAGGCTGTGGTCGTTTTTTCGATTTTCTCAAATTTTCTTACTTCTATCGACGAATGAAGTTTAGCTGGGCTCAAATTTTCTCCCATTTATTCAGACTAAAGTCCGCATTTTGGGACATTAACTTTGAGAGAACCACCGGACCGATTTGCATGGGTTTTTTTTTAAATGAAAGCTTCAGATCTGCAGATTTGCAGGCTGTAATTGTTTTTTCGATTTTCTCAAATTTTCTTACTTTTATAGACGAGTAAAGTTCAGCTGTTTCGAGCGGTCGTCCGGCCGCTACCTGCTTGCCCGTTCCTAGGTACCCCCCTCTACAGTCTCACACCCCTCCCGCCACGTTCTTTCGGCTATCTCCGTTTTCTTTCGTACAGCTCTCCTCCCACCAACCTCAAAGAAGAAGGTTTGGGTCGCATTGTCGTTCGTCACTCGCCACCCACATACCTTCGCAATCCCTCGGCTTCTCCGCTTCACTACTTCTTCATAGGCATCCTGGCGGCTTGACTGACCCTGACTTATTAACTGCAGCGGTGTAGATGCGCACACGTATTGATAACAACACGTATTGTTACAGACATTTTATTCTTATTTATTCTTTTCTCTTTCTAATTTTGTTTCAAATTTGCAAAATTGCAAGACGAGGCGGAGTTTGCAAAATTTTTACTCTAAATACTTAGGTGATGGTGTTTACCCCTCTGCTGACAAGGACATGCCGGAATTCATTGATTTACCGACAAGCATTATTACTGAAACTGATATTATTACTGATATTTATGGAAAATATATAGCTTCCTCATGTTTGAACGTATAGATTTCACAAACTGCGCAATTCGGGCCCCTATAAATGAGCATTGCAATGAAATTAACGGCAAGGTTGTTGAACTTCTTCCAGGTGACTCTAAAACGTACCTTAGTGTTAACAGGCTCATTGCAGAGGAAGAGAGAGA